AAACTGATAAAGTATGAAGATACTTTTCAATGGATTAATGAAGTTGAAACAACATTTGAAAGGTATAACAGAAAATGAAGTCACCTAAATATATATTAATAGAAATACTCACGAGGGACTACTGGTAATTTAGCCATCAAAAACCATTAAATTATATGCTCATACATTTAAAGAAATTTCTAGAAAGGCTTAAAGTATTTAAATATCTCAGTTTTGTTATCCATAGGAAAGATGCCCTTTTAAAAAAAAAATTAACCATTTTTTGAAAATTGAGTTATTCTGAAATTTAAGTTCAATCTATGGCATTTATGTTGACTGGATTAAGAAAAAGGAGTTTCAGAGACAGTCATCTGGTTCAAAGTTCACCCACCTATCACTGATGAACGGCTTCCGACAAACCAGCGAATTTGATCAAATGTATCATTACTTAATTGTATGTATTAAGAAACTAATGCATATTGTATTTATCACTAAAGTTTCCCTTATTGTACCTCAGTAGTCAATAAACCCCACTATATACTTTAGAAGTAAACACATATTTTTTTTATCTTTTTGCTTGTATTAGTACGAGTGCATGCACTGTATGAAAAATTATGTAATGCAATTTTACATTCAAATCTAATCTACATTTTCTTTTTTTATATAATACTCATGGATATTTCTCTGAAAAAACTAATGATCACGGAATAAAATCTTATTTTTCGAAGAAGATATCCCCTTGCCTGAAAGACGCCTATAATGTTTCTTAATCCAGTCAACATAAATGTAAAATGTTTCTTAATCCAGTCAACATAAATGTAAAAGCTATATATGAGAACAACAGGGAAGCAAAGGTAGCTTTAGAACGAACTCAGCAGTAATATGGCAACAAGCTTTAGTGTTTACACTGATAGTGCAATACTGCCAAATGAAATTTGTGCTAGTAATAACACTGGCAATTTGTTAACACCAAGGATTACATGTCAAGATATACACGGATGTTCTACTCGATTGTTTCATAGAGTTAGTAAGAAACTTTTACCTGTTACTGCATGGGAGGATATGATACACTATGTAAGGATGTAAACAGTAGTGTCCTTCAGTGATTGTTCAGGTAATATTTTAGAGGCTATGGCACCACCTACCTTGTAATAAAAACTGGTATCGCAAGTCACACTGGGTGCAAACTAAGGAACATTGCATTTAGTCAGTCTGAAACTTTGTCCTCTGTCAGTCAGACTGGTCTGGAATATGAACTTAAAAGTACTATCTAGAATTTTATTGTCAGTAGTCAGTCCCATGGTCCAGTAAAGGCAATCACTCCGTGTAAGTAACAGATTTGTTCTTTAAAAGGACCAATTTCTTTTTGCACCAGTCCAACCATCATGTTTTAAATGCTTAGCACATCAAAGTACAAACTTATCTGTATCTTCAAAGTTGAAAATATCAAGTATGCTGGTCAAATCGACTTCCCTCCTTTATGTGACATCTAGGTAGCTGGTAGTATGTAATGTCAAGTATGTTGGTCAAATCGACTTCCCCACTTCATGTGACACCTGGATAGCTGGTAACATGTTAATGGTTCTGGGGTTTCAGTATTTATCATTTCCTTGAACACATATTAGGTCCACTCCTTCATCCCCTAATACACTTTTAATTAAAATATACACAAATATAGACAAAAAAAGAACGATGAAAAAAACTGTAATGATCATGATTATACCACCAATGTTAAAAGTGCTGTAATTTGGCAATGACTAAAGTGGTTTCCAATCTAGAAGTTTTTGTTATCTGGAAGTGGATAATATCCATATTCTTGATTGTGAGAAATACATACAGCACAGTTAATGACATTTTGAAAGTTGGATAAATAAAGGTATTTTTCTTCATGTAATGGCTGTTAATTAAGTCTTCAACCTTATTCTGTAATGTTTCTCTTAATTCATTATTACCAACAAACTGATAGTTACACTTCGTGTATTAGTCCAATTCACGATAAATAACAAATTTGATGTTATCATGTATTACTAGTAACTAAAGGTTGTGCAGAATCTACTAAAAAATCAACGAATTTTCACAAATTTAAACTGGATACTTCTATTACACCTAATGATCTTTTGTTTTTACTGTCATCCAAACAAACCATGTAATACACAGTCTTAGAAATCATGACAATTAATATATCAAAGAGAATAAAACATTCCTTCACACTAGACCAACTACAGGCTAGAGTTAATATTCTGTATTCACCTGAGTATAGCATTCCTTCACACTAGCCCGACTACAGGCTAGAGTTAATATTCTGTATTAACCTGAATATAGCATTCCTTCACACTAGCTCGACTACAGGCTGGAG